TACGTAGTCTATAATATCTATGAAACAAACAAACGTTTTCTCGCCTTAGTGGGCCCTGGGGCGAGCTCAGGCTCGCCCAATTAATTATTAAAGTTAAATAGCCTAATCTTCATTGAAAGCGGGTGTGGTCACAATGATAAAATGGCGGCTATAAGCAAGTCTGAGCTTATTTCACAGGAAACGGTCAGCTAGATAAGGCTAAACTGCTGTCTGAAACTTCTCTAGCAAGAATAAAAGTTGGGAGAGCAGATATACAGTCTTTTCCTTGGTATAAAGGATTCTGCTAAGGTGAATGCAAGTGAGAAAGTTGCATGTACTGTACTGCTAGCTGCATGCATCATGAGACCTATTCTAGGTGATGTTTCTTCTCTAGGAGCAAGCCTAGGTTAACAAAGCAGATATACAATCCTCAAACATGATTTTTTTCAGTGACTGCTTCTAACTATAAGCAAGATAACTTTAATTTAAGCAAGATGACTACAAGATACTGAATTTAGACATGTGCAATTGCTTTGCTAGCTCAGACATGTATATCATACAGCACATAATCTACAGCTTGCTTAGGCTCGCCCCTTTAATGTTTTACATTCGTCTAGTAATAAAGTAATAAAATGGAAAATTATTAATTTTATCAACACTTGAAAATTTACATGTAGGACAAACCTGAGTTAAATTGTGCAGTAGTAATTTTAGGTTTCCTTTCTTTAATTTTGGATCGGAAACTTTCAAAAATACTCAAATGTGAGTTTGATATTCTATCAATATTGTCATGATTTGTCTAAATAAAGCACAACCATCGAAAGAAACTGTAAAGATTAATAATACTTCTAAATCTTCATTGTAAGTGACTTGTAATTGTTGGGAAAATTCTGATCCCTTTTCATACTTGAATCTAAAATTCCTCACTAATGTTCCAAAGTCGTCCAAATTACTCTCTTTTTCCTTCACTTTATCGTTAAACTCTATTAGGATTGCATTGATATGTAGAATTATAGAAATTACAAACCCTCTGCAGTTTTCATAAATTCTTTCTTAGTTTCATCCAGTTTTGCCATTGCTTGATCACAGTATCTAGTGCAGTCCCTCACAATGCTGTAGTACCATAAGTATTGTGATTTAGCAGTAACTTTATTAAGTCTAAAAATAGATAAAATTTAATAACAACAAATTAGTGGTACAATAATAATTAACTTACTTTTCCTCCAATAATGGTACCTGGCTAATTTTATCACGTTCATTTGCAGTTGATAATTTTGACTCTTGAATTGGCTTTTTACTCGTTACTTTTATTATTTTTTTTCTTGCCTTAAGAGCTCTGGTAGCACACAGAGGTATAATACAATCATCTGGGATAGGCACGCCTAAACACTTGGACTGTCGCTGGATGACCTCCTTTATGCTTTCAATACGCTTAGGGATTTCTCCATCATCATTGCTAGGACTTGATTCATCATCACTGTCTGAATCAGAATCTGATTCTTCTTCGGATGTAGTGTTATATTGATCAAGTCTTGTTACAGCAATAAGGATTCGTCTTTCTTCAAATACATCTAAACAAAAGGATCAATCATTTTAGACAAAAGCAGTCTACAAAGACAGACATCACTTTGATCACTGTAATGAATGCATAATGCACTGATCCTGTTATGATGCTTTTTACTCTCCTATTTGATTACTTACTTGGATCCCTCATAACTATAGCTCTCAGTGAGTCAGTATCAATAATATCCTCCATTTGGTGAGATGATATTACATAAACATATGCAGAACAAGTCATTAGTTGATGTTCTGATGCTTTAGAGATCTCTTGCTTAGATAAACCAGGAGTCTCAGATTCAGATACATTAGAAGTATCTGCCTCAGACAAACCAGGAGTATCTAACAGCACAATATTGATATCACCAGTGGCACAACCACATAGGAAGGGGACATGTGCTACTACCTCATCGACAACAATTGCCTATAGAATAAATAAAAATTAAAAATTATACAAATACTCACTGTAGCCTTTCCTCTGATATCAGAGTTTCTTTTTTGAATTAGTTTTCGAATTTTTCGACG